GTATTATGTGTTCTAGGAAACTATTAAATGATTTAGTTGAAAAATAAGTAACGTTGACAAAAATAAAAATAAAAAAGGCAACGCAGCAGAATTTGTCAGAAACATCTTTTAAAAAAATGCTAAGAAAGTTTTTTGGATTGGAAAACCTTATATATGTTCTATTTTAAAGAAGAAACCTGAAAAAATATAGATTCATACAATTCAGATAAGCAATATTTAAAAGATCAAATAACAAAACGTAAAATGACACTTGGTTCAAAAGATTTAGCATATTGCCGAAAAATGAAAAAGATAGAAAAAAAAAGTTTGCGACATTTAACATTTATTGAGCGACAGGAGGGTCAAACTGAGAAAGCTAACTTTTTATCTTTAGAACGAAGAAAGGTCTCTTCCTGTCTAAACGAAATTAAATCAGGTACAAGTGCTTCAACAGCTACGTAAAAAGTTTACAAAAGAAATTGCAATTAAAGATGTTTCTAAAAATATTTTATCTAGAAATATGATGTACATAGTTACATAGTTTTTTTACATAGTTACATAGTTACTCTTACATAGTTTTTTTACATAGTTACATAGTTTTACTTACTTACATAGTTTTTTTACATAGTTACATAGTTACTCTTACATAGTTTTTACTTCTAGGGGACAATTTGACAGGTTTCTCGCTATCTGAATCCACCATCAGACGTGCAAAAAGAAAACAGTAAGTAAAAGTGCTTCTAAATATCGAGTAGATATAATTTTTTTTTTTTAATTAAATTTGTTTTGCCATATAAGTATATATACATAAAATCAATATTTCAGTATAAATACATATGGCCGGGGCAGGAAGAAGACGCAATTTGTCTTATCACCAAGCTCTAAGAATTGACTCCTTAAAATAAAAATTATTACTTACAGCATAAATAATTGTAACCAGTATATAAGAAATAAGATTTTCTGGTAATAAATATATAAAAATAGTAAAAATATATAAATAAATAAAAAATAAAATTTTGCAATATATAACTTGTGAAAAAAATTTATACTATTCTTTTGAAAAAATCAATTAAAGAGTTACAAATTAGAAAAATAAAATGTTGGTTTAACTCTTATAAGATAAGAATAAATAAAAAGATGTTAATAAATTAAGTTTAAATACTAATTTATATTATTTATCAAAAGTAAAGTCGATAAGGATATAAATCTCTCTATAAAAATATATATATATATTTAAATATATTGGTTATGATTCGCTCAAAGTGACAATAGGCTGGAAAGATAAACTTTAAAATAAATTGAAAAAACTTATCAGATAACATTTGTTTTAATTTTGCTTTGAAATCGTTAAGAGTTTCATGAGTTTTAAGTTTATTAGATATAAATTTGTTTCATACTTTTGGCCCTCTAATAGATATTGAAAACTCCGTTGCTGCAAAAAAACTTTTAGGCTGAATATAAGTGTTGCTTGAGTATCTGGTTAAGTATCTACTCTTATTTATTATGAATAAAGAATTAAAAATGTTAAGTGTTATTTTTGAATTAACTTTGAACATAAAAATTAAAAGATGATAAATGTTTATTTGGTAGACGGTGAGTATATTTAGCTTTATAATTAGTTCTTTGGAGTGTATAAAACGGTCTACATAAGATAATATTCTGATAGCATTTTTTGCCTAATAAAGAGTTTTTTTAATTTCGTTTTGAATTGTGCTACACCAAGCTATGTTTGCGTAATTCAGATAGCAATGAATAAAGGAGAAATATAAGAGTTTTAAACAAGTTTGATTTAATAAAGCCCAGCAAACATAAGACGTCTTTAAGACCGTCTTACTTTAAGAACGTCTTACTATCTTTAAATAGTCTTGTCTTTGAAAAACGTCCTTATCTAAATTCTCTTATTTACGTCTTAAAGACGTCTTTAAAAAGACAGTAAAATATTTTGTGGTTTCGCATGACGTTTTTTACTTTAGTTATAGTATTTTACATAGCCCTCTTTAAAACGTCTTAAATACGTCTTCAAAAAAACTGTACAAGAGTCGTGTCTTATAAAACCTAAATAAGTTTTCATATCAAGTTTATCAGTTTTCTTTAACGTAATTACGTTTGCTTTCTAAACTTCGACTTATATACATTTTTTAAGCATATTTCATGTAAAAAGTTTTATAAAGAAATGGAAACTGAAAATCAATTGAAGCGTCGTCGCCTGAATAAAAGTATTTTGGATTTTATAACGACACAAAATGAAGTTATTAATATTCATACTAATATGATTCATGAACTTAATGCTTCTTATGAACCTCAAACACCTTGTGAAGCTCCTACTAATATTTTTCAAGAAAGTAAAGTAAACAATTTATCTTCAAGTTGTAATTATGAGAATTTTAAATGTTTTAATCCACCAATACTATTGAAAACAGAAACATTATCAGAAGTTTTGGCAAAGCGCTCCTCAAAAAGTAACATTTCTCAAAGTAATTTAAACGAACTTTTAAATATTTTCAGAAGGTATGGTCATTTAGAATTGCCAAAAGATGGAAGAATCCTTTTAAAACCCTCTAAAGTTTTTAAATGGTAGATAAACGACGATCGTTAGTTATGTTTCCGATTTTATTTTAGATTACATGTACATGGTTTGTCTTAAAGTAGTAAGACGCATAATTACTTTTTTAAAGTCAGGCCCTAAACATTGTAGACTTTCAAATCAAAATCTAACTCTAAAAGAGAACATCAACCACGTTCCCTTTTAGAGATTGTTGGAAAGCAACAGAATTCAGACAATTTATTTTATACACTAGTCCCTTAGTTTTAAAGGGTGTTGTTTTAAAGGGTGTTGTTAGCATAGAAATATATAATCATTTTCTAACAATGCATGTTGCAATGGTGGTTCTATTAAATGAAGACAATCAATTTAGAAAATATCTTGAATTTGCTAGAGAACTAATAAAATATTAATTGCAGACATTAAAGAAAGTAGTGAAAAATTTTAAGAGTCCTGTTGTTCAAATAACAAAACAATATCAAAATATACAATATTTATTTAATACAAAGTCTCAAAAACTAAAAATTTCAGTGAAGCTAAAAAACTCATGCTTTTACCTAAAAAAAGATCAATTTTGTTTTGTAGATGAGAAATTACCGTCAGGATTTTTTAAATGTAAAGTATTTAAACTTGATTTGCAAAATAATTTATATACACAACCTATTCTTTCTAAAACTTTTTAAATTTTCGTCATACCAAAGATTAATGAAATTAAAGTAAAAGTGGTCAGTGTTACAAACTTAAAGTCTCCGCTAAAAGATTGTTGCTCTGCCTTGGAAGGAAAGTCTTGCATGCTTTCCTTTGTTGCATGAAATAGAGCATTGATTAAAACATTTTTATGTAATGTAATGTTAAAAATACTTCTTTAAGGTTTAATTAAAAATTTTATTTAAATTATAAAATAAATTGTAGTTTTTTTAATTTAGGCACCAAAAACTATTTGGGAACGAGCAACAAAATAACTCAACAAAGTTTTTAAGTTACGTAAATGAAAATCTTAACAACACAAAAAAAATATATCCTTTAAAAACCAATAGCAACTTTACTATTAGCAATGTTGAAATCGCGGAAGTGTTTAACAAACAATTTGGAAGCGCTTTTACCGTAGATGACGGAAATTTGCCTAAAATAAATACTTTTGTTAGTGAACATGTTAAGATGGATTTTGTAGATTTTTTCAGCATCCTTAGTGGAGTTTCACAGGGTAGCGTTTTGGGTCCAACGTTATTCCTGTTATGTATTAATGATCTACCCTCTATAGTAAAAGATCCTTATTACAGTCGCGATTTTGCTGTAGCCATTTATAAAGTTTATCTCTGGTCAAAAAAATGGCAGTTAAAAGTAGCCAATAATAAGTGCTTTACTCATAGAATAGCACCTACTTTATTTTGGAAAGATAAAAATTACAACTATCAATTAGGAGATCATAATTTAAACTGGTCTACAAACCCAAAAGATTTTGGTGTGACCATGGATTCTTACTTAAATTACAATAATCATATTTTAAATATTGTCCGCGCATCAAACATTCGAGGATATCTAATCCTTAAATATTTTAAAAGTCGTGATCCACGTGTTATCGTTAAAGCCTACACTACCTATATAAGACCGTTATTAGAATGTTGTTGTCCGGTTTGGTCGCCAAATCGCACTGAAATGAACATTAATGTGGAAAGACGTTTTTCTAAGAGAATTGCTAACATAAATAACTTTTCATATTTAAATAAACTTAGAATTATTGGTTCCGAACTAATAGAAAATCGTCGCCTTAAGCAAGACATGATTACATAATACAAAATTCTAAACAATTTAGTTTGCCTAAATAAATCAAGTTTCTTTTTATTTAACAATTATATTTACACTCGAAGACATAATTTAATTATCTAACATATGTATTATTGATTGTAGGGCACGTTGTTTGTAGGGTACGTTGATTGTAGAGCACGTCGTCAGAGTCATTCATATTTTATGGACCTGCGCATCCTTTAGAACATGTATCACTGTTATAATAAATTTTAATCTAATCGACAAAAAAAAAAAAAAAAATCTCGAGGGGTAATAATGACTTTTTACCCGGCGTAATATTATTCCGTGGACAACATTGTTCCGAAGATGAATTTAAAAACGGAATTGTAACAAGAAAACTTGTTAAAAATGAATTAAAATGATTACAAATTTATCTGTTAAAGTAGAAATTTCAAAATTATGTAATTTACTAAAGCTACAGTTCTTGTTCTTGACTACTTTAAATGTAAAATTCTAGAACTTAATAAAATTTATTAAATAACTTTAATGTATGGCACTGCTATAAACTACTATATTAATCTAAATGTGGTTAAAAAAAATCCACCGTTCAAGAAACCTTGATCTATACCAGTAGTTTTTTTTTTAAAATTATCTAATAAGATTATAATATAAAATAGACATGCATTATTAATAAGAATGTTCAATTTATAATTTGGTTTTATATGTTAAGCAGCATTTATGTTTTTCACTTTTTTTAAACCATTAACTTGTGAAGCAAATATTTTTCTAGTTATTTAAACATAATTTGATTTGATAGTTTATCAAGATTACCAGCAATGTCATACTATTGGTTTTTTGTGGTGTTCTTTTTTCCAAACTTCTGTTATTCTATCCAGCCATATGATGTATTAGGTGTAGATCCATCTTATTCTCCTGAGCAAATTAAAACAGCTTACAAGAAGTTGGCTAAACAGTGGTTTGTAATCTTTTACATTTAAGTTAACAATTCCTAATAGTAGTCTATCATCTATTGTCATTTTTATTTATTATTATTTATTATATTGTTTATTATATTTTATATTACTATAGTTTTAATAATCTTTTTATTGTTTGTGTAATAAGTTTAGAAAATATTTAAAAATTTTTTTAACTATCTTACTACTTAAAAGTTTTCAGAGTTAAAGAAAAAAGCTTTAATTATGTCTTAATAATATCAGTTTGACCATTTAAAGGCCCAATCAGATAAAAATAAATTGCTTAAATTACTTGAAAAAGAAAAATTTATTGATTTATTATAACAACTGTTAAGACAACAATGATAAAGAGCTACCAAAAATATATGGATACAAAAATAAGTACTTGATTCCTTTTGTTTAATTAAAGCTGTTTATAAAAACTTTAAATGTTGTTTAAATAAAGATGTTTTCACAACAAAATAAAATTTTTTCGTTTTAACATTTTAGCATTCTTTTCAAAACAAATTTAAACATCTTAAAAAGGATTATATTGTACAAATAATAATAATAAAAAAAAATTAGCTTTGTGTGTAATTTTCTCTATTTAAAATGAAAATAAAAAGCTTTTTTAGTGTAATCTGACCTGCTACCTTATTAAATTTCCTTCCCCCTCTGCCATCTTCTTTTTAAAGTTATTCTTCTTTAAACTGTTATTTAGGCTAAATATCAAATTTTACTTTTTGTTTCAATTACTAAGTATAATTTATCTTAATATTGATCACTGTTATAATTCTGAACTATATTTAATAGGTGATACAAAAAAAAAAAAAAATAAATAAAAATAAAATTCAACTTAAAAATTAATTTATTTATTCAATGATTCTTATAAATTTATTTACATGCAAAGTTTAAGAGAAAAAAAAAACTCATATGGAATGTAATTATTTTTACATTTTTAAATAATTTTAAAATTGAAGAAAAAAAAACCCAGTAATATATTTTATAAAATTTCTGAAAAATTGTTACCTAGCATCAAAGCAATGGTATTCAGTAAACTACCAACTAATGAAGAGGTTTTATTCCATTATCTTTATCTTACAAAGTTTGAATTGGTACTAGCTAGCAAAAAAAAGTTTTATCTGTGTTAGTGAAAAAGTAAATGTTTTTTGGAAATGTCTGGGATTTTAACAAAAAAGAGAAGAAATACAAGTATTATATGGGATTTAATACATCTTAGAGAAAACATGATAGAAAGTTGTTATAGAGCTCAACTTCTGAGTTTTTTTAATGTTAATTAACCTCCCTAAGGCTATGAAAGACACTTCCATCAAATAGGATACTTTTAATTGTAGTTATAACCTCTTATCTCTATAAATCTGAAACAGAAATCTTGAGGAACAAGGCCACTGTGCAAAGAAGCAAGTTAAGTACCATACTACCAATGCTCAAATTGTAAGCATTTTCAAGAGTGCAATTGTGAAACTAAATAAAGATCTCAAAACTAGTACGTTATGGTTTACAATCTGAACACAAAGAAATAAATGATAATGTTAGTAACAAGTTCGTTGATTAAAAAAAGAAATATATTATTAAATAAGTCACATGAATCAGTTATCTTGGATAACAAGAAAATTAAGTTCTCTGAATGTGTTTTTTTATTTGGCATTTTTTTAAGTATTTAGGCATTCAATTTGATACTGGTAAGAGAATATCTAAAAAGTTGGGTTACCTATCAAGAATAAGTAGAAATCTAGCCCGGTGAAATTAAAAAGTAATTTATAATACAATAGTGGCTCCTCATTATGAATATTGTGCCTCAATCTTTTAAAATGCAAATGAAGGTCATATTAAAATAATTCAGAATTTGCTGAATAAAGTTATGAGACTTATTCTAAAATGTAATTGGTATTCACATAGTATAGAAATGTTGAAGAAAATTGGATGGTTATCTGTCAAGCAGAAAATCATATTTAAGGTTTTGTTCATATTTAAGGTTCATGAGGTAGTAACTAATCCAAATAATAAAATATATGTGAATGTGTTCAGAAAAAAAAGTGACTTACATTAATACAATACCAGAAATGCAAATAGTTTTTATATTGGAAGTGCAAAACAATATAAGTGGGCAGTAATCAAATTTCTGTAATGGTCTCAAGCTATATTATCAAAAATAAGGACAAATTAGGCATAGACTTATCAAGGCTGTAATGTCATGATTAGTGAATAAATAGGTGTAATTTTGTTCAAAATTTTATATATACTTTAGCTAGGAGATTATCACAACAGCTTGAATTGACTTCAAAAAAACCAAACTTTGGTGCTATAGATGGCTTTTGCCATCCAGCAAGCTTGATGTTATGGACCAGGTGCTTTTCTTCCTTTTATGTGGTTTCCCCAAAAACATTGTTCACATTATCTGAGAAGGCATCTTTATAACTGTCTTGATCAATGGATGACCACTCTGCTTGAAATTTTTTGAAGATGAGAATTTCCGGAGCTTTACTGGGTCCCATATACGCATCAAAAGTAACAGCCAATACGAGGATGCAACAGCATCAAACAAAGTGGACTAGAGACTGTCCCAGTAGCTGTTTAAGAAGGACACAAGTATCAGACAATTGACCAGTCAGGGTCTAATCTAGACCGTTTTCAAGAGCGTTGACCATATTTAGGCACCGCTCAAATTTAAAATTGAGGACCTTTTGTTTTTTTTACAGCAAATATTGTTTTTTCCATGATAAAATGCTGATATTCAGATATTTTTCCGCTAAATTTCTCCAAGATGGAAAGGTACCGCCGTACATATTTTTTTTCTAGAATAGCCCTTGCCAGTGTTGGAGCTGGTTGTATTTAAACACCTACCACAAACTAATTCTTCCAGCTCTCATTTTCATAAGACATTATGTAGAAATTGTGCCTCTGATTGCTCAGCACCAACGAGTCCAATCAATATATAATATATAATGATCCCCAGCATATATATTATATAATATATAAAAACATGTTTATTTTTTAGTGCATACAGGAGTTTTTGGAATATCCAAAAGTTTTATACACCCCATTGTTGTGACAAGCATTGGCAACCTGTTGACCTTCTTTATTCTAGTCAGATAAATTACTAGTTTGCCATCCCAGTGCAGTGTAACTGTTGTGTTGGGGTTGAAATCTTTAATTATTCTGGAGGTGGCTTCCTGTCTGTAATTTCAACAATTGCGACAGATGGTTGATCTATACAAAGCAATTGATTCAGTGTCATATCTTAGAGCACTTGAAGTCTCGAATTCAAATATCATGGTAGACCGCTCTCAGTCTATTCCGATTGAGCATTGCTGCCAGTTGTGGCAACCTTACAATTAGATGTCCTCCTTTCTGACTCCTTTTCTATCAAAGAATTTTTTTCAAGTTTAGATTGATGAGTTCTTTTTTTAACTTTCTCATTTTTCTCTATCTGCTGCAATAATACCTTGTTTATTCCTAACATGCAACCAGGTTGTCCTTTCTGTTGCTGATGTTCCAGGAAAAACTTGTCTTTTTCATTTACAATAATTTTTTCATTTACAATAAGCTCCATGGCTTCAGAATGTGCGATGTCAAACAAATCCTCAACTGCGGCTAAAAATAAAGTGTTGTTTGCTTGCAGTATTGTGGCCTGGCTGCTCTTGTTCTTTTTAAGGCTCTTCCACTCATAGAATTGCTTAAGTTTTTTTATGGAATCCTGGCAACGTTTGATCGGAATTTTTGCTCAAAACCAAAAACTTTCCAATCTTTCAATAGTGAGGTTTGCTTTTTGGATATCTTCTTTCAGAAAATTGTGCAGATTTACTACCTTCGATCTCCACTGCAGCGCTAATCAGATAAACTTGAGAACATAACGCCATCAGAAAATGAAAAATTGCCTTAAAATTAGATATTTGTTATTGTTGATAATTTAATAATTGGTAATTTTTGCGGTATGTTGTGGATGATAAATTCCGTCAGGGATTTGAACGCTGTTGCTCAACAGAGCTTGTTCCATGTACTAGAGTTTAAATAAAGTAACTTTTTCCTCAAACATTGCATGCAAACCTTGGGTAAAGTATTGTTTCAATCATTTACCCTTAATTGGGAAGACCTGGCTAACCCAATTATATTTTGAAAACATGCTATAAAATTGAGTAGTAGTAGTTATTAAAACAAAATAAAGGATATTAATATATTATAGTTTCTTTCATTCTCAGTTTTTATACTTTATTACAACTGTGCACAAAATGCAATAAAACTTTTTATATTTTACACAACATACAAAATTACAAATTCCTAATCTATAGTGAGAACATCATTAAAAGGTGAATATGTTAAATACATTTATGAGAACATCATTAAAAGGTGAATATGTTAAATACATTTAACATATTCACCTTTTAATGATGTTCTCATAAATGTGAATTCTTTAATAGTTTTAAAATATAAAAGAGTTGTTATTTTTAAAATAATGGAAATTTTTTGCGTGTGTGTCATGATTGAGTGCTCACGTAATTAGTCCTAATAACCTGCGGATAGTCTGAAAAAAAAAAAGATATGAAACTTAAAAAAGAGTTTTAATAAATTTTAGTAAGACTGTACCAGTTGTGTTGTTGTTACAAGTGCTGTTGTGAAGGCAGAAAACAATCAGAAAAGCTAAAAATGCTAAAACGTCATCTTCTTAGTTCTACCAAATCCGGTAATAAAAATAGGTCAATTAATACATTTTAAAGTTATCTGATTTTTGAATTATATTATATTTTTTTATAAATACAAAATACTTTTAAAGTTTTATAAAGATAAAAAATACAAAATATTTTTAAAGTTTTATAAAGATTTTTGAAAAAGCTAAAAATTCTTATAACATTCAAAAAACGGTAGGATATTTGTTGCATATGTGTCATGATTAAGATACTTATGTTATTTTAGTTTTACATTTCAAGTTTTTTTCCAACTAAGTTGAGTTTGTGCAAGAAAAATGAGTGAAAAAAAAACATGTTTATATATAGAATATAAAATC